ATGTTTTCTGTGATACAGTGGTTGGATGAGGCATGTTTTCTGTGATATAGTGGTTGGATGAGGCATGTTTTCTGTGATATAGTGGTTGGATAAGGCATGTCTTCTGTGATACAGTGGTTGGATGAGGCATGTTTTCTGTGATATAGTGGTTGGATGAGGCATGTTTTCTGTGATATAGTGGTTGGATGAGGCATGTCTTCTGTGATATAGTGGTTGGATGAGGCATGTTTTCTGTGATATAGTGGTTGGATAAGGCATGTTTTCTGTGATATAGTGGTTGTAAAATATAACATTAAATCCAAACGAAGAATTCCCATTGCTGATGACTTCGAGTTTAATTTATGTTTGAGATTTTAGATATTTTAACACTTGATAATGTTTTATAACAGTTATTAATAGGAGTGTATACACCAGATAAAGTGAGTTTCATTATGCTCAAACTGTCATTTTATGCTAGTCTTCCACTTGTGGATAAAAACAATTATGTGACAGAATATCTTAAAATCATAAACTATCGATAAATTTCAATGTATAAAGCTTAAAAATAAGTATTAAGAATTCAGAACGAGTTGAGATAAAGTACAGATTTAACAAAATTCAACATTTTAACGTCGTTTTCGATTTGGACAATATTATGTTGGATAAACCACGCTTCGTTTTGAACCATGGACAATATTATGTTTGATAATCCACGCTTCGTTTGGAGCAATGGACAATATTATATTGGATAAACCACGCTTCGTTTTGAACCATGGACAATATTATGTTGGATAAACCACGCTTCGTTTTGAACCATGGACATTATTATATTGGATAAACCACGCTTCGTTTGGAACAATGGACAATTTATCCAACATAATACCACGCTTCGTTTGGAACATTGTCCATTGTTCCAAACGAAGCGTGGTTTATCCAAAATAATATTGTCCATTTATCCAACATAATACCACGCTTCGTTTGGAACAATGGACAAGATTATGTTGGATAAACCACGCTTCATTTGGAACCATGGACAATATTATGTTGGATAAATCACGCTTAGTTTGGAACAGCGTATAAAACGGCATTTGAGGCGTAGTTCTGGCAATTCTTCAAATATCTAGAGACATGTGAATCAACAATGTGATGTAAGTCCTGATGAAAACATAAATACATAGTAACGATGAAATTACAAATTTCAATCCACGTTGAAAATGTACTTAATCTGAGCCATAATAGTTCAACATTACTAACACGCGCTCATACGAAAGCCACGTGACATATTACGTCGTCAAGAAATTAATGTCGCGATTTGGAAAACTTTCATTAACCATCCCCCCAAAAAAACGTACATCACGTATAATTGTTAAACGAACATCCTAAACGTCACATTAGGGTAGCCTATATAATGTGTAAAGTTTAGTATATTCTAATCCCTGATAGTAATGGCACACGACGAGACACACATTCGGCATGTACTGCTGTTTGAATACAAGAAGGGAAACAACGCCTCTGTAGCCACAAAGAATACCAAAGAAATTTATGGAAATGTTTTGAACGTTCGTAAGTGTCAACGATGGTTCAGAAAATTTCGTTCAGGTGACTTTAGCATTAAAAACTGTGATGGCAGGGGCCGACATGTTGGAATTGATACTGATGCTCTATTGAGTCTAACCCAAGGCAATGCATTCGTGAAATGGTCCTGAAATTGCATATCTCTCATGAAACAATACGTAAACATTTAAGGAATATGGGAAAACTCCATAAAGAAGGTGATTGGGTACCTCACTAACTCTCCGATGATCATCGTTTCCAACGTGTGAACGTTGCTTCGTTTCTTCTGGCGCGTAATCCATTTTTGAACAGAATTGTCACCGGTGACGAAAAATGGATTTTCTATTCGAATATTAAACG